ACAGCCCTAGCTGCAAAAATTTTGTGCATGTTTGGGACTACCTACCTTTGTGAACAGGTTTTCTCTGTAATCATTTCTCTGCACATCAATAAATGAAAACTGCGCTCAAGGCTCACACACCAGCACTTAAATGACATTCTGAAACTGGCTGCTACTCAGGACCTGACGCCTGACACTGATGCACTTGTGCGGGCTAAAAGATGCCAAGTTTCAGGAGCAAAAACAAAGTAGTCTAAACTAGACTAATTCTTGTAAAATGCTGCATCAGAAACATTTTGCACTCAAAAAATATAGTTCTGTGAAAATGAATCCTTGCTGTAATAATAGCTAAAAATTGTTCAATTTATTAGTCACCAGCTTCACTACAAAAGAGTTTGGTCATAAATTTTATGTATGCATTTGTTATGTATGTTTCATGTATAAATCTTATATTTACAGGCCGAGTGATTACTTTCTCTCTTATACATTTAAAATGGCCACCATTTTGGTTTGTAAGATGTGGTCAGTCAATTTAAGTTTTGAGAATTATTACATGTGGAAATTGGAGTAAAAATAATTCCTATATCTTGATTAGTTTATTTAATCTTAAAGTGCAATAGGCTACCATATTTTTCAGTTCTAAATTCCTGTGACTTAAAGTTTTGTGCCTTTGTACAAACACTGTGATCAGTTGTAACGCACACATGTAAATCATAAACTGAAGCAAATTGCACATTTTTCTTGAGACATCTGAAGTTATTCAGAGTTATTCATTTTGTAAAAGGATAGTTCATTAAATTAAAAAATATCCTAATGTAATTATACTTCTTTCCACTAAAACAAAGGGGAAAACATGAATTTATTGTTATTTATAGCTATGATGTGCTGTGCTATGATTTTGATGGTCCGGCCCACTTGGCATCAAATTAGGCTGTATGCGGCCCCTGAACTAAAATGAGTTTGACACCCCTGATTTACACTATCTACGCAGATTAAATAGTTTGTAAAATATTATTTAAAGATATCCATCCATCCATTATCTTCTGCTTGATTCGAGGTAAGGTTGCGGGGGCAGCAGTCTCAGCAGGGAAACCCAGACTTCCCTCTCCCCGGCCACTCCATCTACCTCCTCTAGGGGAATCCTGAGGCGTTCCCAGGCCAGCTGAGAGACAACAACAACAACAACAAATTTATTTTTGTATAGCGCATTATCACAACATTACATTATCCCAAAGCGCTTTACAGCATCCCCACCCAAAGCCCCCAGTGAGTAAGCCATAGGCGACAGTGGCAAGGAAAAACTCCCTAGAAGGAAGAAACCTTGGGAGGGACCAGACTCAAAGGGGGAGCCCATCCTCCAGGGGCCGGCAGGGAGAGTCAAATACAGTTTAACATAGTCTCTCCAGCGTGTCCTGGGTCTTCCCCGGGGCCTCCTCCCAGTGGGACATGCCCGGAACACCTCACAAAGGAGGCGTCCAGGAGGCATCCTAAGCAGATGCCCAAGCCACCTCATCTGGCTCCTCTCAATGCGGAGCAGCGGCTCTACTCTGAGTCTCTCCCAAATGATAGAGCTCCTCACCCTATCTCTAAGGGAGAGCCCAGCCACCCTGTGGAGGAAACTGATTTCAACCACTTGTACTCATGGTCTTGTTCTTTTGGTCATTACCCACAGCTCGTGACCATAGGTGAGGGTAGGAAAGTAGATCGACTGGTAAATCGAGAGCTTTGCCTTTTGGCTCAGCTCTTTCCTCACCATGACAGACCGGTGCAGCGTCCGCATCACTGCTGATGCCGCACCGATCTGCCTGTCGATTTCCCGTTCCATCGTTCCCTCACTCTTGGACAAGACCCCGAGATACTTGAACTCCTCCACTTCGGGGAGGACCCCCTCCCTGACCCGGAGAGAGCATTCCACCCTGAGGACCATGGTCTCGGATTTGGAGGTGCTGATTCTCATCCCAGCCGCTTCACGCACGGCTGTGAACTGTCCCAGTGAGAGCTGAAGCAGAGACTTAATCCTGAGGTCATCAAACCGGACACGGTCAATGCCCTTGGCTGCACCTAGAAATTCTGTCCATAAAAACTATGAACAGAATTGGTGGCAAAGGGCAGCCCTGATGGAGTCCAACCCTCACTGGAAACGAGACCGATTTATTGCTGCCCATGCTGACCAAGCTCTGGCACTGGTCATAAAGGGACTGAACAGCCCTTATAAGGCAGCCCGGCACCCCATACTCCTGGAGCACCCTCCACAGGACTCCCCGAGGGACATAGTTGAATGCCTTCTCCAAGTCCACAAAACACATGTAGACTGGTTGGGCAAACTCCCATGTACCCTCCAAAACCCTGTGGAGAGTGTACTGTAGAGCTGGTCCGCTGGTCCACTGTTCCACGGCTAAGGTGAAAACCACACTGCTCCTCCTGAATCCGAGGTTCGACGATCCAATGGACCCTCCTCTCCAGAACCCCAGAATAGACCTTATCAGGGAGGCTGAGGAGTGTGATCCCCCTATAGTTGGAGCACACCCTCCCGTCCCCCCTCTTAAATAAGGGGACCACCTGGTCTTCCAGTCCAGAGGCACTGCCCCTGATGTCCACGCGATGCTGCAGATGAATGTCAACCAAGACAGCCCCGCACCATCCAGAGCCTTAAGGAACTCCGAGTGGATCTCATCCACCCCCGGGACCTGGCCACTGAGGAGCTTTTTAACCACCTCAGCAACCTCCGCCCTAGAGAAAGGGGAGTCCACCCCCAAGTCCCCAGACTCTACTTCCTCGTTGGAAGGCGTATCAGTGGGATTAAGGAGGTCTTTGAAATACTCCCTCCACCGACCCAAAACGTCCCGAGTTGAGGTCAGCAGCGCCCCATCCCCACCATAAACAATGTTGATGTTGCACCGCTTTCCCACCCTGAGCTGCCGGATGGTGGACCAGAATGTCCTCTAAGCCATCCAGAAGTCGTTTTCAATGGCCTCGCCAAACTCCTCCCACGCCCAAGTTTTTGCCTCGGCGACCGCCAAAGCCGCATTCCACTTAGCTTGCCGGTAACTGTCAGCTGCCTCTGGAGTCCCACAGGCCAAAAAGGCCCGATAGGACTCCTTCTTCAGCTTGACGGCATCCCTCACCACCGGTGTCCACCAGCGGGTTTGGATATTTCTGCCGCAACAGGCACCAACCACCTTACGGCCAGAGCTCCAGTCAGCCACCACCACAATGTAGGCGCGGAACATGGACCATTTGAACTCAATGTCCCCCACCTCCCCTGGGACATGGGAGAAGTTCTGCCAGAGGTAGGAGTTGAAGCTCCTCCTGATAGGGGATTCCACCAGATGTTCCCAGCAGACCCTCACTATATGCTTGGGCCTGCCAGGCCTGGCCGGCTTCCTCCCCCAACAGCGGAGCCAACCCACCACCAGGTAGTGATCAGTTGACAGCTCCGCCCCTCTCTT